TCTCTCTCTCTCTCTCTCTCTCTCTCTCTCTCTCTCTCTCTCTCTCTCTCTCTCTCTCTCTCTCACACACACACACACACACACACACACACACACACACACACTACCATCACCACAAATCTAGGTATAAAGCTAGTGTGCCCAAGTCTGTGATCTTGGCACTTATGAGACTGAGGCAGGACTGGAGACCAAGCTGGGTATAGTCCCAAGATTAACATGAATATCAACTAAACTGGAGAACTGGTGGCAGCTGAGAATTGCCCATCATCTGCAAGTTTCAGAGATGTGACAGTTACACAAATGGGGTTCATGGAAGTGGCAGACTACAGCCTGTCTTGTTTACATTAGATGTCAAAATGTGTCATAGTGACTTCCTAAGAGTTACTGTCTTGATTTTGCTGAGAAGTCACCATGGAATAGAAGAGTAAGGTAAGGTTGTATCTTATCTTTGTTGTTCTAGTTTTAATCTCTAGCCCTGTGACTATACCTGTAATTTAACAAGTAGAGTCTGTTAAATGTAATCTGAGGACAATTTCTATTTCACAGGGTGGAGTTTGATCAGTTAATAATATGTGAATGAGTCCAACAGTGCCCAACAGGCACCTTTTCCCTTTGGTAACGGCCTAGTCTTAAAGGGCTTTCTTGGTGACCAGGGCAGAACAACTTTCTGAATTCAGATTTGCCTTCTTGGAGCCATCCCTCTGGGACTGCATTCCATTGATCTATAACAACCCCAAGACTACAGGAAACCAGGGTTAAAGGACACAGACCCCCTCACCACCCAGCCTAAAGTAAGCCCTTTCTTTGTGTTCACTGACTTGATCAGCAAGGGAGAGTACACTGCAAGATTCACTCACTGCAGATTTTTGGCCAAATCTACAGAATCTGATTTAATGGCTTAAAAGTTTTTAAAATTAAATGTGAGTTCTTGGGGGATGTGTAAGTCAAAAAATCATATACCAACCCAGTAGCCTCAAAATAAACTTTAGCCCTGGTGAAATGGTGAGAGTATAAGCTGTCCCATATTGATCTCTTGGTCTCTGGAAATGGCAGTGTTATTTCTAAGGACAAAACAGACTACCAGAGCTACCCACAAGCCTTGAACATCAGGTCGAAAGCAGAACCAGAGCTGTTTAACTTGTTTTTGAGACAGAGTCTCACTCTAGAGCCCACAATGATCTTAAATTCATAGATTATAGGAGGTATTTACCGCCATACCCAGAAGGCCTTTTCATGCCATGCCTTCTTCAGGCATCTAAAAAATTCTGTCGCCGGGTGGTGGTGGCACACGCCTTTAATCCCAGCACTCAGGAGGCAGAGGCAGGCGGATCTCCGTGAGTTTGAGACCAGCCTGGTCTACAGAGCTAGTTCCAGGAAGGCTCCAAAGCCATAGAGAAACCCTGTCTCGAAAAAAAAAATTCTGTCACAATGGTAGAACAAAGTTTCCCCAGAGAAACCCTGGAAAGGAGAAAATGATGGATTTTTGGAGTTAGGGATAAAGAGAAAACGAGCTGTCTCTGAGAAAGGGAAGGCTTCAAGTAGGAGAAAACATTTGAGTTTCACCTGGGAAGTCAATATACGTATGGAGCGCCTCTAAAAGATGTTCAGTATTCCGTAAGTGAATGTAATTTCAGTAAATAATGAAAATACAAGTTTTCTGAATGTGGCTGTGTCTGGTGCGGGCTTTCCCAGCATCTTGCAAATGCTGCCTCAGCAATGAGAAGCAGGAAGAGATAAGCATGGAGTCCTTACTCTGTAAAGCACTATCTCAGCCACAGAGGCCTTGTCACCCGACGTGACCTCCAACTTTTTTCTATCCCAGAACTTCCAAGACTCATTTTAAAAAGGCCTTTTAGAGTGGTGTAATCAACCTACCCAATTACTTCCTAGAGGTCTTGTGCTCCCCTTTCTCCCTACATCTGTAGTTCAAGCTCCCTGGTATGCAAACTGGAGAGCAAACAGAACGTACCTCAAGTCCATCTGGACATAGAGTCTGCCACTTTCAGCTCCAAGGAGGACAGAAGGGGAAAGGCGCTGACACAACAGCTGTGTGACGAGACTGGGGACAGGGTGTCAATCAAGCTGTGGGAGACCAGGGGGTCATGATGGACAAGATGACACCTACCAGCAAAGTCATCCAAGTAGTGAAGTCACATGGTCTATCAGTATGGTTCCCTTACAAAAAGACAGTTCTAAACTCAGTGCCTCAGCAGCTCTGTGGCCACTACTATTCCCTCTATCTTCTATAATTTTGTAGCATTCTGAAGTAAGTATATCCCCAGGTTGGCTGCTAGGTCAGGAGCTACCAGACACTGTAAAAATAATAAAATCATTATCTCAGAAATAAGGAAACCTACATGTCAAGAAGAAATGGACTTTATCCAATGAGGAAATCCAGAATGATCATTGTGACTGTTTGTTATCACAATAATTACCTTTCCAGTAAGGAACTTCCAAAATGATAAGTGAAATTTTTTTTATTAAGCAACCTTAATAAATATTCTGGAAAAATAAAAGGTGAGACCAGGTAACAACAGATCAAGTGCCCTCCTCCCAAGAAGTCCTTATAGACTGGCTGCCTGCTACCTCACTCACTCATCCCAAGGACAAGTAGAACTGAAGAGACTGTAGGCTCTCTCCTGTGTAAAATCATTTTTAAAGGTTAGCATCTCTGGCCCTATGGTGGCAAGAGGGTGGGTGGTCTTAAATCAATCTGTGGAAAGTCCTACATATGTTCTAAAGGTCAATGCCTCTTCTAATGAACTGAACTCTACCTTCTCATTCCTGGGGCTGGAGGGCTCCAGTGAAATTTTGTGATCCACAGAACTGCCTCCCACCACCTATAAGAAACCAAGCTATCCCTAGATGTCTACCCAAAATAATGCTGTGAGCTGGTAAGAACCATTAATGACTCAGCACCAGCTTCTGCTCCTTCCCAGCTGGAACTAAAAGCAGAAGCTAGCTCCTCCCCAGCTGATGGCCACATCCTTACCACAAACTTGAGTCATGACCACACCCAGCCTGGATGGAAAACTACCAGGAAAGGAGGGAAGGTGAATTTTGAGTCCAAAATCATGGCTATATACTCTCCGTCTGGCACTAATTGAGGAAAAGTTCCTTTTCCTGGCCCTGTCTCTATTTAAGCATGTCTAGATCTAAAGGAAACAAGAATGCCTACACTCAGATAAGTGGAATGTGGACAGGCCCTGTGTGTACAGTTAAGAGCCCTGCCCTCTGTGAAGAATGCTGTCTTGTAGCTCCCGCGTCTTCATAAACCCCAGCCCTCAACCTTCAAAGTAGCGGGGCCCTCAATTCTCCCAGCTGAGAGCATAGCTCTACAGAAGCACAGAGCCCCTACCAAGCACGTTTCTCTGCTATGAGGGCATTCTTCTGAGAAAGCTTTTCCTTCTTCCTTACAGTGCTGAAGAATGAAGTGTTAAGCAGAGGCGCTAGGGCTGAGCCACAGGCCGTTTTCAAAAAGCATTCTTGATTTTGGTTCGCCTTTTTTAATCTCATGTTTTGAGTAATAAGGCCTTATGAACTTCTGAGATCAGCTTTTTAGGAGAGAACTATAAAATGATATACATAATTTTATTAATATAAAAAGGCCATTATGTTGTGGCTTTATTTCTTCTTTTTTATTTATTTTTTATTTTTTTTTTTCGAGACAGGGTTTTCTCCGTAGCTTTTGGTTCCTGTCCTGGAACTAAGCTCTCGTAGACCAGGCTGGCCTCGAACTCACAGAGATCCGCCTGCCTCTGCCTCCCGAGTGCTGGGATTAAAGGCGTGCGCCACCACCGCCCAGCTTCTTTTTTATTTTTATTTATTTATTTATTTTTGAGACAGGATTTCTCTGTGTAACAGCCCTGACTGTCCTGGAACTCAAGCTATAGACCAGAATGGCATCGAACTCACAGAGATCTGCCTGCCTCTGTCTTCTTGAGTGAGGGGATTACAGGCATATGCCACAACCATTCAGCCTGTTGTGCTATTTTTAAAAAACAAAACAGAATGATACCACAAGAATAGCTCAGCTATTGCAGCTTTGGGATCAAAATAAGCTAGTTTTTCATTCCTTCTCATACCATCATTTGCTAGCATTGGCAGGCAGGTGTTGAAATGTTTACATGTGGGAAAAATTTCTTCTCTGAAATTGCCAAAAATGTTTTATGTGAGTAGTCACATACCTAGGTCCAGGTAGGGAATCAGCTGATTGAACAGCTCTAGGTGCCCAGTGTGTTAGGGCACACCTTTAATCCCAGCACTCTGGAGGTAGAGACAGATTTCTGTGAGTTGGGGACCAGTTTGGTCTACACAGCAAGTTCCAGGTCAGCCAGGGTTAAACAGTAAAACCTCTAGGATGTGGGATGACAAGAGCTCAGGTTCTGGAGTTGGAAGGATCTGGTTAAAAACCCAGCATTATCACCAGTCAGTTGTAAGATCCCAGGCCTGTGGGTAGCAACCCATGACAGGGTTTACCTAAGACCATCCGCATATCAGATATTTACATTACAATTTATAACAGTAGCAAAATTACAGTTATAAAGTAGGAATGGAAATAATTTTATGGTTGGGGTCACAACATGAGGAACTATATTAAAGGGTCACAGCATTTGGAAGGTTGAGAACCACTGTCCTAGACACATTTAAGATGAAGAAAACATGTCTCCTAGCTTTGCTATCAGCAGTAACTAGGGCTATAATCAGAGAACCAGAACAGGAATTCTGAAATGAGTCAGTTTACTACAATAAGCTATGGAATACACCAAATAACTTATCCTGTGAGATTATTTTCCATCTGCAAAATGGGAATAATAGTATCTATTTCTGAGGCTTTTGTGAGAATTATGACTCCAATATATATAGGAATCTTGCAACAATAAATACAATATATACTTATACAATAATTTAAAACTTGAGCAAATTAGTAAGGTGGTTTGCACACTACCTGGAAAATAATTTGTAAGAACTAAGTTATACTAGCTGTCTCTGATACCATATCATGGGTTAGTCTTTCCAGGAGGCAGGGGCTTCAGTTGCGTGTGTCCACTGACAGTCATTTATTTGTCTTAGAGGACTTGGGAGTATTGGGATATACTATGTCCTTTTTGAGACGGGAGTCTTGCTAAATTCCTCAGGTTGGTCTTGACATCCTGGGCTCAACTGATTCTCCATGTTGGCCCTCAGGGTATAAGCTAGGACTGTAGGTGGATACTATCATACTCATTTATAATGTACTAGTTATACGGGCTTGAAGGACAATGCAGAAATCCATCTCTGTGGGGAAGGGTCTTTTAAGAGTGGTCTGAGGATCACAGAAGACAAGAGGTAGTCTAGAGCAGGTTATGGAAACAAGAGCTATAGTAGAATTTGAAATCATATTGAAAAGCTGGGCTTTTAAAAGAACTTTGTGGTGTTTTCTGTGTTTACATTTTTGTTTTTCATTAATATTTCATAAAATATTTGGAAATGTTCAACATGTCTCAGTTATGGTTAGAATTAACTAAGGGAACCAACATGGTGGCCATGCCTTTAATAGCAGGACAGACGAAGGCAGGAAGTTCTGAGTTCAAGATTAGCTTGGTTTACACATAGTAAGTCTTAAAAATGAACCAAGACTTTTGGGTATATGGAACAAATCTGAAAGGCCAGAAGCTTCCTTAGTAAGACAAACCCAATCCTCCAAGACTAGCCAGTGTTAAAGAAAGGCAGGGGTTTCAGAATACCTACCTATTTAGGGAGTTCTGACTTCTTCTGAGGAGTTCCCACTCCAAATCCTGATAGCCCTTATGGCCTCATGCATTCTAAGCAAGCACTTTACCACAGTGCTATGCCCACAGCCCTAGACTAGCCTTTCTTAAAGGACTTCAGGTTAGAGAACCCAGCTTCCTGCACCTGCCAACTTACCTCTTCACCTCACTTAACTAAAAGCCAGGCAGGAGAAAGACTAAGGGTCCAGCCTCTAACACACGACACAAGGATGACTGACATCCTTCCTTTGTATAAGGAAGTAGCTGGTCCTGAAGATTTGGAAAAACAAAATCATAGCTGCTCTAACTCTGACAGTTTTAATAACTGTCATCAGTGGTATTCTCCTGTTTATTTCATATGCATAACTGATAAACTTCCCCTCTTTATTTGATATTTTTATTAAAAATACAGACAGATCTGTAGAATACAACACTGAAACCAATGGATGCATCTTTCACTTGAGGAAAACCAAATCGTCCCAACCTTCGGATATTCCACTCTCACAACACAACCCCTACCTAGGGCCTTGGCTAGGCGCTGGGCCAAGGCTAGCAGACCACAGTGATCATATCCAGTCCACAGCACCTTCCATTTTATTGTTTTATTTACAAACAGGGTGAAGTCAACTGGGCAAATCAGGGGTGGGAGTCAGTCAGAGCCATCCAAACGTGGAGTGGTTCCTGGATCAATCTCCACCATGAAGGCCGCCTCTTCTATCCTTTTCTTGCCCCTTGAAATTTCTCAGGGCAGCCTCACCTGCTGCTCCTGAGCCCTTTTACAAGGGTAGATGGATCCTGGGGGAACAGGGTGATACGAGGGCTGGGGCCCCCTCAGTTTGTGTAAACCTGAGTTCCGATCACACGCATGATTTCCTTCTGTATCTTGGGGTCCTGAGTATTAATGTTGGCATCGCCCACCTGCCCATCCTCATATCTGCCAAAGACAGAGGAAGTGTGAGCACAAGGGGAAGTATGATACCAACCCATATCCACCAGCAGAAGTGTTTCAAGACATGACCATTTCATCCCAAAGTGAAAGATTTTGTCACTGCTCTTCAGGATAAAGGGATCAATCAGCTCAGCAGGTTTTTCTCTACACAGACCCCAGTGATCTGTCTTTAACCTAAGGGCAAAGTCCCAGTGCCAGCTAAATTAGACAGCAAGGGACAGGACTCAGACAACAAAAATGAACATCCTCAGCAGCCACACACCATCTACCACCCTCATTCTTCAAGTAATACCAAGGGCTCCTTTTAGACTCACACAAAGAAGAACCTTGTGCAGACATGGTCGGACACAGGGCACACCCAAATGTTTCCATGCTTCTGAAGGTCCTTAGATGTAATCACTGGGAGAAGAGAGGCCAGAAGTCACAGATATAAAACTTAAGGCGGTCCGGGTAGGGAAGGAGAACATGTTGTTTCAACATAACTTTTGGCTGAATCATGTGCCAAGGGAGCAGCAGAAATAAAGGTTGGGGTCCCAGAAAGACATGAACTGGGTGAACTGCATACCTTCACAAAGTGCAATACAGTTTAGATTCCGACTCTGCAGGAACCTTGACTGAATGGATCGGGTCTGAAAAACAAAGAAGCAGAGGGATGCAGAGCAAGGTAAAATGCTAGAGCTTGCTCTCAAGAGCTGATTAGCTACTGGTGACGGGGACTGACTGGGGTGTGAACTGGGTCTCCTGAGCACCCAGCGCCCTCCAAATGTTTGCTTACATAGAATATTACCCTGGTGGGGCCACAGTTTCCATGTTCATCTTTTCAGTTAACCTGCCCTTGCTTTCATATGACTTTGTTTTCAGATAACATATGACTAAAGGAAGATCATTTTATAACGTACTTTTAAATGACCTACGATGGCCCCTGCTCCACTGTTTTCCCATTCATTATTTTAGCAGGATGCAGGAAAAGGTCCTAACTCAGGCAAAACCAGAAAAAATACCTGGGGGATGGTGTTCATCCTGTTATATCTCTGGACCAGCTCATCCTTGGATGGCATTCTGTGCTGTCCTTTGCCCATTCCTGTCACAGAACAACAAACTCAGTTAATTCGTCCATTTCTTAAATATTTGTGGAAGTACTTACTATATGTCAGATACCAACTAGAGATACTTGGTGATACAGTAGTGAATAAACAAGTGATTACCCTCGCTTAACCTGGTGGAGACTGAAGGCAAGGAGTATGGTGGCGACTGTGATGGTGAGCCTGTAAGCACCGTGTGAACCAGGGAGGGGAACTAGCCTAGCCAGGAGATCTGAAGATGTCCTGGTCCAGTAAGACTAAGGACCTCAGAATTAGGAAAAGTTAGTATAATAGAATATGGAAAGCATAAAGACAGATAGACACACAGAACTTAATTTGCATACAGTATAATGAATGGCAAAATGATGTAAAAGATATAAACCAGGCTGTTAAGGCAACTGAACTTGATCCTCCAAGAACTCCAGGGAACCAATGAGGTTCTAATGAAACACTCGAGTTGGGAAAGAAGAGCCCGGCAGTGTAGGACACCAATACCTCAGAGTCAAATGATAAGCCAGAGACACAAGTTAGGAGAAAGCTTTAAAGTTACACAAAAGATTGACCACCCAGGATAGAAGGAGAAAGCAGAGCCCTTCCAAATCGATTCTCCACAGATATTCACCTTGAAGAATCTTACCATTAGAAAAAAATGCCAACTCCCTCTCATTTCCACATTATCTCAGAGAATAAATTCTCTACCATCCCTCTACACCCCCTTTTTAAGTTTTTTGAGACATGTTCTCTGTTTAACAGTCCTGGCTGTCCTGGAAATTGCTTTGTAGACCAGGATGGCCTCAAACTCACAGAGATCCACCTGCCTCTCCTCCCGAGTGCTGGGATTAAAGGCGTGCACCACCATGACCCAGCTCCTCTTCTATTTTTAGCAGTCATAGGAGAGGTCTTGTTTGTAAAGACTGAAATAGGATTTTTACTTACATATCAAACAGTACCCGTATACCCCTTACGGCCAACTCTTTTTGGCCTAAGGACAGGATTTCAGTCTGTCTACAGGTTTATCATAATCACAGCCTTATCACTTAGGGCAGTGGTGGCGCACGCCTTTAATCCCAGCACTGGGGAGGCAGAGACAGGCGGATCTCTGTGAGTTCGAGGCCAGCCTGGTCTACAAGAGCTAGTGCCTGGACAGGCTCCAAAACCACAGAGAAACCCTGTCTCGAAAAAACAAACAAAACAAAACAAAACAAAAAAAAGAAACCCGTCTCTCAAATGGGTGTCAGTGGTGCTTGCCTTTAATCTCAGCAATGAGAGGCAGAGGTAGTAGTCCCAGTACTGGCCAGCCTGGTGCACAAAGTGAGTTCTATGGTAGAGCGTGCACCAAAACCCTGAGTCCAATCTCAAGTGATATTTAAAAAATGTATAGGGCTGGGCGGTGGTGGCGCATGCCTTTAATCCCAGCACTTGGGAGGCAGAGGCAGGCGGATCTCTGTGAGTTCAGGGCCAGCCTTATCTACAGAACAAGTTTCAGGACAGGCTCCAAAGCTACAAAGAGAAACCCTGTTTTGAAAAAAAACAAAACAATAACCAAAAAAGAAAAAGAAAACTGTATCCTAAAATGGCTGTATCAATTCTTATCCCTACAGACAGTAAAGGAGATCCTGTGGTATTACCATATGAATACTAAATAACACGTCACTTGGTTTATTTTACTTTCCTCTAAAGGTCACATAGCTTTCACACAGAGGTGCGGAAGCATTTCTTCAATGGAGTCACCATTTATATTATTTGCTTGCTTTTAAAGACTTTGTATTGACCTATGCTTTTTTGTTTGTTTGTTTGTTTTGTTTTTTTCGAGACGGGGTTTCTCTGTAGCTTTGGTGCCTGTCCCGGAACTAGCTCTGGTAGATCAGGCTGGCCTTGAACTCCCAGAGATCTGCCTGCCTCTGCCTACCAAGTGCTGGGATTAAAGGCATGCGCCACCACCGCCCAGCCCTATACATTTTTTAAATATCACTTGAGATTGGACTCAGGGTTTTGGTGCACGCTCTACCATAGAACTCACTTTGTGCACCAGGCTGGCCAGTACTGGGATTAAAGACATTTGCCACCACCACCCCAGCCTGGTCCTTTTTATTTATTTATTATGTATACAATATTCTGTCTCTGTGTGTGCCTGCAGGCCAGAAGAGGGCACCAGACCTCATTACAGATGGATGTGAGCCACCATGTGGTTGCTGGGAATTGAACTCAGGACCTTTGGAAGAGCAGGCAATGCTCTTAACCTCTGAGCTATCTCTCCAGCCCCCGGTCCTTCTTTTAAAATCTGAGATAAGGTCTTAATAAGTTGCCACTTTAAATTATCTATTAATAAATATATACATAAAATATTATGTATATAATTGTGGACCATGTGCATATCCTTGGAGGCCAGAAGAGGATGCCAATCTCCTGAAACTAGAATTATAGATGGTTGTGAGCTGCTGTGTGGGTCCTAGGAACTGAACCTGGGAAAAACAGTCAGTGCTCTTAACCACTGAGCCATCTTTCCAGCACCTTCTGAATACATGTAAAGACTAATCTTATGTTTTTATGCATCTTACAAGCATCTTCTCCAAGTTGGCAGCCTGTCTTTACATTCTCTTTAAGATGTACTCTGATGGAGTGCATTAGTTTCAAACAGACCTGACAAACTTTTATTAGTTGCTTCCCTCTTTCCATTCTCTAGACTTTTGTCTAAGATTAAAACAATCTGCTCTTTGACAGTTTAAGACTCATAAGAAAGACTATGAGGAGAGGGGAGTGATTCAGAGGTAAATAAAGTGTTGTATATCGCGCTCAAAGTCCTGGGTTCCATTCCCAGCCAAAAATCAAACATACAAAATACCCAAATACTATTTGGGTTTGGTCATCATTTATATTTTTAATTTCTTTTAGTCAGTCTTATTAAGTTTTTTCTATTTTTTCTAGATGTTTTGTCAAAAGGTTTCAAATTATTAATAGAACATTTACAGACTTTTCTTCTAAGCTTCAGAAAATTTGGTACATCTGTAGTGATGCTTGCATTTTTGTTCATATTTGTGCCCATTCTTCTTAAACTAATCACTGTCTATCTACCAGTTGTTTTTGTTTTGTTACCTCACTGCACATGGTAGGCAAGGACTGCACCACAAAACTACATTTTGGTCCCTCATTTTGTTAATTTGTTTGGTTTTTGAAACAAGGTTTCATTCTGTAATCAAGAGTGGTCTGGAAGTTACTATGTAACTTAGATTGCCCTTGAACTCATGGGAACCCTCCTGTTTGCCTCCTGAGGACTGGGATTAAAGGCATGAGTCACCATACTCAGCTGAATCATCTGGCTTTTTCTGCCCTATAGTGTATTAGTTCACTGGTTTTCCTTTCTACCTATTACCAGCTCTTCTTTGATTCCTTTGTTCTATCATTAAAACCAGTTCTATATTTATTTGCTTATTTTATAGTACTGAAGATTGACCTTAAGGCTTCATGTATGCTAAGAAACACAACACTGTGAACCTATGTCCCTAGGCATTTTATGAATTTATTTTGAGACAAGATCTCAATAAGTAGGCTAGGATGACCTCAAACTCATGATTTTCTTGTCTTGGCCTCCTGAATATCTGGGATTACTTATAAACCTATCACCATAACTACATTATTAGTTTTGCAGTTCTGTGATTCTTTTTTTGTTTGTTTTTGTTTTGTTTTTCGAGACAGGGTTTCTCTTTGTATATCCTTGGCTGGCCTGGAATGCAATATGCTCTATAGAATAAACTGGCCTCTAACAGAAACCACTACTGCCTGTCTTGGTTCTGTGATTCTAGATATAAGTTTGTTGTTTATTTTTTAATTTCTATGATGGGCATAATTACTAAAAATACTAAACAATAATCTATAAAAGAAAAAAAAACAGGATAAACTGCCTTCCTATTGTGGACATGCAACTGCATGGCTTGCTGTAGCTTAGACAGAGACTCCACTGAACAAGAACAAAGGCAAACCAAAGTGGAACATGAACCAGGAAGACCAAAAGAGTTCTGACTTCAATTGTTTTTCTGAGTTAAATAATGCTAGAATCATCTCCTTAGAATCTAGAATGAAGTACTTTCTCTTCCACTCAATGTAAATAAATATTATAATAGTGTGATTACAAACCATTTAATTTTTTTTCTATTTTTTTCTTCTTAAAATAATTTCTCTATTCTCATTTTGTGTACATTGTTGTTTTGCCTGCATGTATGTCAGTGTGAAGATGTCAGATCTTGGAGTTACAGACAGTTATTAGCTACCAAGTGGGTGCTGGGAATTGAACTCGGGTCCTCTGGAAGAACAGTCAGTGTTCTTAATCACTGAGCCATCTCTCCAGCCCCCAGACCATTTAAATTTTAAAGGGAAGAGAAGAATATCTCCAAAAATATAAGCAAATTATATTCAAGAATATTCACACATGTATGCACATAATTTGTAATTACTCATATCAAATATGTGGTTTACATGGGCATGGTGGCATATGGCTGTAATTCCAGTACTTAGGAGGATCAGGAACTCAAAGTCATCTTTGGATACACACTGAATTCAAGCACAGCATGAACTACACAAATCAGTTTTAAAAAGAAAGAAAGAAAAAAAAATCTGGTCTACAAAAAGCTTTTTTTTGTTTTCTATTTATTCATTAACCCACCCCCAGGGTCTAGTTCCTCCACTGTATAAAACTACCATTTTTTACAATAACTACCCTTGCCTCATAAATAATCTAAATTTCTAGTGAGAGAAAATAGAAAGAGACAGAATGTATATCCATGGTTGGGGAAGGTGCTAACAAAGACCAAATATCCATGATGAAAGAGAAGATAGCAAAGTTCATGTGTTCACAGATGGATGTAATATAAAGTCAAGGTGGCCAAAGAGTATTGCTTACCTGAGTATCCAAAGGAAATACTGGAGATGGGGCTCAGGTAGATGCCTTTGCCATAGGCTGCTCCATGCAGCTTGCAGGGAAACACCAGGATGAATATATGAGCCTGGGACCCCCATGGCTGTATATTAGGCATCCACAACACTTATGCAGTCCTTTGTCCCTCCATTTATCTACCTTCTTACTCATTCAAAAAACTCGAGGCACCTACTCTTGAAAAGCTGATTGGCTGAAAAGTGGATTCAGTTAAACTGCTTGCAAAATACTAAAGAATACCATGGAGAACGGGGAGTAGCAGAGCCACTGAGTCATTGCCTCAGCATTCATACCTCATATGACCTCAATCCTTCATATATTTTCAGATTCTCAAACAAAGAAACTATGGAAAAGGTAGCAGGAAGAGGAACAAAAACCACTCCCAGTAGTTTCTCAGGGCAATGAAATAAGCCTTTGTAACAACTCCTTGGATAGCCACAAATGGAAAGTCTCTGTCATAATAATAGGTTAATTCCCATTACCTAAACAACCAAAATATACAACAGCCACATTCATTCTATATTTACAGTGCTAACTTTCTCTGTAGATAGGCTCTATCTTTCTCAACATAGGCTAGACATGGTGATGCAGAGGCACAAACAGATATTCAAGCATTTTAGAGCAGACTTCCATAGCTGAGTGAGTGGAGAGAAAGAAGAAAAGGACACAGCCTCACCTGCAGTTTGGTGTAGGATGCATTGACCAGCCCATTGCGCAGGATTGAATGCCAGTTCTCAATGTGGGACCCACTGTAAGGCAGGATAGAACATATGTCCCCTCATAGTATGAGATTCTTAGGAATACTTCCAAGACCATTATCACCCCCTACCCACAATACATGCAGATGGGCAAACACACCTAACGAGTGACATGTTCACAGATAAAGTCATAGGCAGCAAGAAGTGTGTATGTGCATATGTGAGTGTGTGGTTAAACTTTACATCTTCCTGTTGTCCAACTAACCCCACATCTTAAACCCTCAAATGCTGGCTCAGTATTTTTATTTGCCTATATTCCTGACACTTCAAATTCAATAATTTCATCTCAAATTCAATAAACTTATCAATGATCTCAATATGGCTTCTAGTCCAGAGGTCACACTGCATTTTTTTTTAATAAAGAAGCATTAAGACTTCTTCTAAATTACCCTTAACACTTTTTTCTTTCTTCCCTCCTACAGTTAGACATAAACTGTGGATTTCTTCCCCAAACTTTAACTCTATCCTTCGAATCGGCTCCTTTGTATCTTTTTACATGAAAATATTCTGTCCATTCAACCACACCGTAAGCAGTTTAAAAATAAAGACCATGTCACATGCAGCATTTTCTCCTTTACAGCACCTAGCACAGTAGCATTTAGTAAATAACTGCTGACTAGTTGACCATCATGAAAAAACAAAACTCATAGATCCCAAGGCCCTGCTAGCCTAGCCCATCTCCTGACACCCCATCTCCATCATCCTTACTGGAAGGCAAAGGTGCTTCCATAGAGCTTCTTGGCGGTCCGGAACCGGGCCTCCTTGGCAGGAGGGCTGCTCAGCAGGAGGAATTGGTGTGAGGTGTGCATGAACTTCAGCTGCTGCCCAGGGTGGGGGTGGGATAAAAAAAACCAGCAGAAACAGAGATCAGGGAGGGAAAGGTTGGAAACAAATCAGATTTACACTAACTACAAACAAGGGAAATATGTTTAGGGTCAAACACTATGCTGATGGACAGACGGTACCAACCAAGCTAGTCAGGGACCAATACAATGGGTGGGCGTAGAGCCCCTCCTTGCCTCTCACTTAAAAGTTTTAAGATTACAGAGGGAGAATAATTACTTACCCTGCTGAGAGGTAGTTTGACAATGTGTGACCTGTTGCTAGAAATTATCCTGGAAGAAACAGAAAAAGAAGGGACAGAATAACTATGTGGTGAGGCTATCCTGAAGAGGAACTTTCCTCTAATCTAGGTACTGCAAGTAAGATTCCAATGTCTGAACTGTGTGATAATTTCCAAGTCATAGTTGATATTTCTTTTTCTTTCTTTCTTTTTTGTTTTGGGGGGGGGGGGTTTCAAAACAAGGTTTCTCTGTGTTAACAGTTCTGGCTGTCCTGGGCCTCCCAAGTGCTGGAATTAAAGGCGTGTGTGATCACTCCCTGGCCACTGATAGTTCCTTTAAGTGATTTTGCTTATATAAAAATTACATATATAATTATATAGATTTTAAAGGGAAGCCACCAACTGGACCAGCTAGTTTTTTTTTTCTAAATATTTATTTATTTATTTATTTGTTTGTTTGTTTGTTTATTATGTATAAGTGTTCTGTCTGTGTGTATGCCTGCAGGCCAGAAGAGGGCACCAGACCCCATTACAGATGGTTGTGAGCCACCATGTGGTTGCTGGGAATTGAACTCAGGACCTTTGGAAGAGCAGGCAATGCTCTTAACCTCTGAGCCACCTCTCCAGCCCACTGGACCAGTTAGTTTTTAAGGAACTAATAACAGGTAAAAGAGTCGGGGGGAGGCTGCTATAACTAGGGAGAGAAAAACATGGAACAAAAAGAATATTAGAAGCCAGGTGTGGGTGGTACATGCCTTTGATCCCAGCACTCAAGAGGCAGAGGCAGGTGGATCGCTCAAGGCCAGCTTGGTCTACAGAGTCAAGTTCCAGGACAGTCAGAGCTAAACAAAGAAACCCTGTTTTGAAAAACCAAAAAAAGAACCACAAACAAAAAGAAAATCAGAAGTTACCAATTAGAGAGAGGTCTGAATTGAAAATGGTTAAACTGGTGTCTGGGGTTTAAAATCCCAAAACTGAGGCTCAGGAGCCAACCTGCATAAGCTCAAAGGAATCCTAAAGGATCTCAAGGATGAGAAAATAGAAAGATACTATATAGATTGGGGGGAGAAACAAAAGAAATTAGAATGAACTTTCTGAGGAGTCAAGGACAGACTAGGCTGTATATAGCCTGAACAGAAGAATAAGAGAACAAAGGCATAAAAACTAAGGATTCAGCAAGAGCACTATCTCCTACAGTGGGTACAGTGTACTTATTTTGTGGTTGTTTAAATTTTTGTATATGTATATGCAAGCGTGCATTGGGCAGGTGGTATGCATACATGTGCACCCATGGAGGCCACAGTCAACCTCAGGTGTTGTTCCTTAAGAGATATCCACCTTGTTTTTTGAAACAAGTCTGACCGGGACCTGAGGTTCGCTGATTAGACTACTCTGGCTGGCCAGTGAGCCCTAGGGACCTACCTATCTTTGCTTCCCAGTGCTGCAATTACAAATGTATGCCATCATGCCTGTCTCTTCTTGTGAGTGCCAGGTATCAAACAAACTCAGGTCCTCACGCTTATATGGTACGTATTTCACCAACTAGACAATCCCAGGTTTCACCATAGTTTACAGTGCTACTTTAGAAGTCTATGTCTGGTAATTACTCATGCTATGAGGAAATAATCTACTGCACTGGCTACCTAGTTTCAGGGGTTGACTTGGAAGGAGTCAAACTAGAAAGAGAAACTGTCAGGAAAACAAGAAAGATCAGCGGGGGAGAAGGAGAGGAATGGAACAGCCCAATTCTTTGCTAGCAGTAGGAAACAACAGTGTATCTGGTTCTAGCCACTCTTCATCAGGGACGAAGATAGAAGACAGAGATGAATTTCTTTGGACACACAGAAAACTATGCTGAAAAACTGAAAACGTACTAACGGCAACTATAGTTAATAACATTAAATTTTTGAGAATTGCTGAGTCATAATGGACAATATCCTAGCACTTAAAAACTCTAATGAATCATTACATAATGCATGTTGTGCATAACAAATACACACATTTTTTTTCTTCTGGTTCTTCAAGACAGGGTTTATCTGTAGCTTTGAGCCTGTCCTGGAACTCACTCTGTAGACTAGGCTGGCCTTGAACTCACAGTGATCTACCTGTCTCTAAGTCCAGCGCTGGGATTAAAGGTGTGCACCACCACCACCCAGCTAAATACACACGCTTTTTAAACATCTTATATTAAAATAATTAAGTAAGAAAACAAACATTTGGGGAAATATGGAATACTTCAAGCTTGAGAAATCATGTCAGAATTTGTGAGCTCTTTGTAGTTACTGTCAAGTCAAGGCTTATCAGCAAAACACCAAGAAAAAGTAGTCATAATATAGCCTTGCAAAGAATGCTGAAATGCCTCTAGGAGAATATACAGATGACTCTTTTCTTTCCCACCCCATACAAAGCCTGAGCCATTCTATCCATACCACTGCAGAAGAGGATGGGCCAAGGGATCCAGCTTGTCCATCTGTTTCTTGATTTCCAAATATGAGCCCTGTAAGACAATGGCCATAATAAGATTATCTCCCAGGAGAGGAAGGACCCCTCCCACTCTCTATAGACTACTGGGACCCAAGGCAAGATAGGCTATTGGAAGAATGAAGACAAGGGGTTCCCACCCTTAAGGAGGCCCAGTCAGGTTGGCAAGACTTATAAATATGAAAATGACTGAAGATGCTTACAAAACAACATGCAGGCGGGTCTCTCTCATTTTATGCAACTCCTACAGCTCTAAAATTGTTGCTTATAAATCAAAAAACAAATAAAATCAATGTCCCCCAAAGAAAAGGCTAAAGAATCCTGTGGCAAATCTTCACATAAATCAGTCTTTCTAATAGTAAATCATCCTTTCTAGGTATACCTTCTGTGTTAACTGCACTATGATATATAGGATTTACTGAGAAGAGGCCCACCTGTAAATATGAATACAAATGAATGTCTATTCATGCAGAGACTGCAGACAAGGGGTGGGGAAATCTGGTGAGGGACAGCCTTGAGTCAAAGGATGATCACCGCTCTGTGTGGCTGCCCTACCCCTAGAAGGACAGAAGATACAATCCCTGGATCTAGCTCCTTATCTCTAGGTCCCCTCTTCACCCACCTAACCTTGTGCAGAAGTCTTTCCCTAGCTTCTCTAATTCTCCAAGAACTATGAAAAAAGTTGACACATGAACAACTTGTGAAAGAATCTGCAGCAAAGATAAAGACGGAGAGAGAGACACCAGGAGTGAAGAGAAATAGGGTAAGAAAGCTAACAAAACAGGAGCAAGAACTGGGATGGTTACAAAGGGAACATAAGGAAAACATAGGAATTTGCGTAGCTTCTCTAAATCTTTACCCTACTCCTGTGAATTACGAGCAGGAAAGAGGGCTGAGCTAGGCAAAGAGAAGGCAAAATACCTGGGTCATCTCCCGAATGGACATCACACTATCCAGAGCTTTCTGAAGTCGCTCATAATTCTTCTTCTGTTGATAATCAATGAGAAGAAAATAATTAGAAGCAGATACAAAGATATGATAATAAAAAAGAAAAAGAGGGCAGTTAAAGTCTACACTCAAGTGTGCTGTGGAAAAAAATAAGCTTTATCTGGAAACTTTAGAGTTTTATGCTAGTCCTTTTACTAGTTATGTAATTATCTGGGTAAGTCGTCGAACACCTTCAACTACTACAAGCCCTGTTTGCAAATAACAGGGGGTGTTCTGTCTGTCTTATTTTTGCATGTCAGGATTTTGGTGATGCTAAGGATTGAACCTATGCCCTCACATATGCTGGTAAGCGCTCTACATTGAGCTATACTTCAGTTCAATATTCAAAAGTTAGTATTTGTAACTAAAAATACTATTTCTGAGGCAATCGTCAGAAACGTTCTCAGAATTAAATAAATGTATAAATCTAGTATTATATCCAATATACTGACAGAAAACAACGAGGCACTGTGACATACAGTGATGGTTAATTTTAGAAGTCAGTTTGAAAGCTGGTGGTCCATGCCTTTAATCCCAGCACTTGGGAAGCAGAGGTAGGCAGATCTCTGAGTTCAAGAACAGCCTGATCTATAGAGCAAATTACAGAAATTACAGGACAACCAGGACTACACAGAGAAACCCTGTCTTGAAATTCCACTCCTCTGTTGCTGCAAAAAAAAAAAAAAAGGGGGGGGGGGGGAAGAAAAGAAAAAAAAAATTAAAAAAGGCAATTCAAATAGGTTAAAGAGTACCTACTTATTTGGTCAAACATGATTTCTGGGTTTTTCTGTGAAGGTGTTTTGGGGTTCAGATTAACAGCTGAATGACTAGAGGGGGCAAAGCTGATTGCCCTTCTTAATGAGGATCTCATATAGCCAAAGAAAGACCCAAATAAAGTAAGAAAGCTAATCTTCCCCAATCCTGGCTCTTGAATAAAAAGGTATTCTTCACAAGTTGGGGTATCAGCCTTTTCCTGGCTTTAGATTTGAATGAATTACAAAATTGGCCCTTGTGGGTCTTGAGCCTGCCTGGTTCTCAGGTCTCTGAACTGGAACTGGAACATAATTCATCACAGCTCTCTAGGGTTTCTAGTCTACTGACTGTAGATGTGGGAACTTCTCAGCCTCCCTAAGTAGGTGGGACCATTCCTCATAATAAAATCCCCTACAATTCACATGTAAATGAATGGAATATATTTATAGTCATCCACAGCCTATTAACTATTTCTCCAGAGAACCCCCCATAGGGTATTTCATTTACATTATCTCTTATTTTTATAACAGTTCATAAAATAACTCCTACCCCTTTTATAGGCAGACAACTGAAACTGAGAAAGATGAAGTACGTTCCCTAGCACTATTCAATAAGAAAGCCAAAGACCTTCTGGTGGAATCCATGTCTGGCTGGTTCCCATCAAGCCTACGTCCTTTCACTGTTTTATTTTCCTCCCAGTCATAATCTCATTCTTAGAGTAAACTAGCCTGAAGTTTACTATGTAATCCAGGTTGGCCTTAAACCCTAAGCAATTCTCCTGCCTCAGTCTTCCAAGTGCTGAGATTATAGGTACATGCTACCACATCAGCCACAAGCCTATATTCTTTTCATCATGATATAACAGGTACTAATTTTTCTTCCTTTCTTTTGACAAGCCCAGCTATTTTGTCAGATTAACACCAGTGTTCAAGAGTACCCAAGAAACAAGTGTTCCATTTCTTCTGTCCTTCATTGGATCTGTTGTGTATATAGGAATTAGAATCCAACCTCCCACCATTTCTGTCCCTTATTCCTTTCCTCCCAACAACTATACCTTAGGATTAAAGGCCAGAGTCTTGGGATCAGTTGGGTCTACCACAGACGGATAAGGCTCGAAGATGATACTCTTTCTAGGAGACTCCAAAGCTGCTCTACACATGGCCACCAGCAGATCTACCACCTTAGGAAAAAAGAAAGGGGAAGAACTAAATGACAGTTCTGGGAGTCTCCAGAATGTTCCCACCCCCCTTTAAGGCAAATGTTTTCATGGCTTTCTAATTAGAAATTATAAAAATTGAAATACTAGGGCTAGAGAGATGGCTCAGTGGATAAGAATACTTGATGCTCTTATAGAAGACCAAGGTTCAGTTGCTAGCACCCACATGACACCTCACAACAGAATGTAGTTCTGATTCTAGATGATCTAAAACCCTTTCTGAGCTCTTTGGATATCAGACACCTACATGGTACACATATATACATGCAGGAAAAACACTTTTACACATTAAAATAAATCTTTACCTAAAGTCCAAATACTAGCAAAATGATCAAAGAAAAGAGATACCATCTCCAATCCACCAAACAAATTTATCTGCTCCCAAGTAACTACAAAATTTGGTAAATATCCTTCCAAGATATTTTGATATACAAATAGTATCTGTTCTTTCTTTCTTGGGCAACGGTGGGAAGAATGAACTGAGAACCTCATCTATGCTAAGCATTTGCAAATCTTTAACTCAAGCAATCCTCCTGCTTCAGTCCTCCAAGCAGCTAGGAAGCTAAAGAAACATGCCACCACAAGTCTGATTTGGTATTTGATTTTAGACACAACTGTGCATTACAATTTTATGTGTATAAATAATAGCTGTTCAGTATTTTCTTTTTTAAGATTTATTTATTTATTATGTATACAGCATTCCTTCCATGTATGCCTGCAGGCCAGAAGAGGGCACCAGATCTCATTATAGATGGCTGTGAGCCACCATGTGGTTGCTAGGAATTGAACTCAGGACCTCTGGAAGAGCAGTCAGTGCTCTTAACCGCTGAGCCATCTCTCCAGCCCTGTTCAGAATTTTCAATGTAAGGATATGCCATAATTTTGATGGACCTCCTAGACAGTCCATTATCCATTTTAGTTTAATTATAAGCTTTATACTTTAGTGAGCACCAATAAGTATGAAAGCATATTTGGAAGTTAAATTCTTTTTTTTAATTACTTTATAAATAATACCAATCAAAATTTCCACTTCCTCCCCTTCTCCCACTTCCCTCCTGCTCCGCCATGGAAGTTAAATTCTAAGGAATGAAATGGCTGGCTTCCTTTGCTTTTGTTTTGAGCTAGGGTCTTACTTTGTAGTTCTGACTAGACTGGAATTCACTCTATGAACCAAACTGGCCTCAAACTCTAAAGATCCTCCTGCCTCTGCCTTCTAAATCCTGAGGTTAAAGACACTGACACTGTAACTTGTCTCTTCTACTTTTCTTGATCCCAATTCCCCAGTGTCCTTTTCCTCCCTCATACCTCTGCTCCAGTAGCCACCTCCTCTGCAGCTCCAGACATGACTCCCAGCGTGTAGAAGGAGAAGACGCATAGTTCACGAGTACAGACAGCTGGCTAAAGGGAGATATTAAACAGACAGGAGAGATGTGGGTTGTGTATGGAGAAGATACAGGGAGAGATCAGTTGTGTGTTGAGAAGATGTGTGTGTGTGTTGAGGAGGACTATCAATCAAAATTTAAATGCCTTAACAGTAAGTTTGAGTGATCTTGTCTACCTATAAAATTCTCTCTGGTCATTAAGGTAGTTAGATGTTCTCTTTTCTGAGTTTTTAGAACACTGCTCCTTGCTTTTAAATAGATTTAAATTTAAAACATAGATTATAATTTATAGCTAAGTGTTTGGCCTACTCACCTAGATTTGGGAATAGCCAAGTACACCCTGGTCAATACCAGATGCCTGCTTATAAATGTTAGGTGGGAATGGTGTCATCAGAATTGTTTTTATAAATTTATCTCTCCAGAAAGGATTACTGAGATTCATCTTCTGAGAAAATGATTATTTATAGTGTCTACAGAATTGTGAACAGAATGTATCTTTTACTACAGGCCTAGGAAGAAAGGGGAGCTAGGAAACAAAAGGCCTTGGCCAAGTAAGATGGTCAGAGCAGGGACCTATACCTTAAGCATGGACCCGTTCTGGAAGACATGCTGCTCATCACACACCACACAGTACTCATTCAATGTTGGAATCCTCTGCTCTGCATATTTCATGATCTAGAAAGAGAAAAGAGTCTGTATCTTTTCTAAGTACAGAAGTTTTTCATGTTGTTTTGAAGAAAATGGAAATAATTGAATACTTTTTAGCTTAGATTCTGAACTTAAACTGATGGCCTCCCTACATTCCTAACCCTGTATGATACTATACAAGTAGACCAGCCTGATCTTTGACATAGAAGTCTCGAGTTAACATTCCACATCTACTATTTACTATCAAATATAACTACTAGGCAAGTCAGATACATTTAGCCTTGTTTTCTTCACTTATAAAATAAGACATTATACATCTCATAAATATACTGCAAGAAATGAGATCTGTCCATGCATTTAAAATTGGCGAGGTGGCATCAAGCCTGCCAACCTGAGTTCCTGGGATACATATGTAGAAGGAGAGAACTGATTGCCACAAGCTGTCTTCTGATCTTCACACAAGTGCTATGGCATGCACGTGCGTGCCTGTGTGTATGTGTATGCCCCTTATAATTAATTAAATAAAATTTTGTTCTTAGTCTCCATCATTGTGTATTAGATGGGAGGAAAGGCAACACAGAGGTCACAGGACAACTTTACGAAGTCAGCTCTCTCCTGCACCTTTATGGGCATTCTGAGGAGTTAACGCAAGTTGTCAGACTTTCACAGAAGTGCTTTACCAGTTGAGCCATTTTACAGGTTCTCATGAAAGTATTTTACAAATAGGTACTAACTAATCAGTTACAGTGGCTGTAGTCATTATAGATTTTCTACTTGTGGCATGAGTGTATTCAATCCAAGATGAAATGCTGGGGGGCAGGGCTTAAGTGATTTCAACCACTTAAGGACAATTAACCGATCTCCTAATCAAACACACACATGCAAACACACATATTTTATGGAAGGAAAATGGCATAAATCCAGAGCTTTTGCAACAGTATCTTAAACTATATGCTTTTAAATTTTTATTTACTTAACACTGGTTTAACTACTTGTTCTTGTGTATCAATCAGGCTGTTCACATGTTTATGGGCTGGTTATTAAGCCTGCAAGTCAGTAGTTCCAAACCCATAGGGATAGCATATCAGATATCCTACATAGCAGACATTTTACATTACGATTCATAACAGTAGCAAAATTACAGCTATGAAGTAGCAATAATAGTAATTTTATGGTTGGGGTCACCACAATGTGAAGAACTATATTAAGGGGTCATAGCATTAGAAAAGTTGAGAACCATGGCAGTAAGTGTTCTTGATAATGCTGTAACCTTCTTGAGGATGGAATCTACGCCTTCTTTTCTTTTGTTTGCTCAACCAACACTCAGTATAATTTTGGGAGCAAATCAACTCAGGAAATAACTGACTCAAGACTGGGTTTAGGCAGTTAGATGGGTGAGCAACAACGGGGAAGGGTTTTGGCAAAAAGTTCTGGACTTGATTACCTGGACAAGGAATCCATACTCCAGAGTGGGAATGTTCTTGCAGTGACCACTGACCTAGTAAGAGTTCAAGACAGATCCTATGAGTTTCTTATAAAGTGGGGCCCAAACACTCCTCATTCATACCTTTATCCAGGATTATCCTAAAATACCTAAGTCTTAGCTCAGATCAGCCTAAGAAATCACAAAGCTAGAGAGATCTTTAGAAGTTTTGTTAAAGGTTCTAAGGTTTACCAGTCTTTAACCCTCTTCAAAGTTACAATAGGTTGGCACAGCAGCTGACTACCAAGTTGTAGCCATAACCTAACTATACTATACATGACTTCTCCTTGGCATGCTAATCCCCAGACTCTGCTTTATAAACTACTATCAGACAGGCCTGTCAGGCATGAAATAAGCATTTAATAATTATTATTTAATATTATTTATTTATATATAAGCATTTAATAATTAAAAACTATTCCATTCTATACATTCATGATATATGCCTAGATTTGACTAGACAGCTCTACCCCCACCCCTTTGAAAAGTTATTCCCCTACATATCTACCCCCACCCTCCTGATGCCCACATCACACCATCCCCAGCCCATGTACCAAAGGAGAAGTCCGTGCTGGGGGAGGGAGGCCCACGTGCTGGGGGCACAGAAGACCTGCCTGGGGGCTGGGGGGATAACCAAACACCTCTACTTTGGGGTTCTTCATGGTGCAAGAAATGGAACGATTCATAAGGCGTCCAACTCGAAGCTCTGGTACACCCAGTTTGCCTTTTAGCATGGAGTCCTGTATGATAGGAAAACTGGGAGACCTGTAGAGAAAGAGCAAAGAAAAAGTAATAAAACTGGGAATTCATTATGAACTTTAGAAGAGAATTAGAAAAAAGAACATTGTAGGCCAGAGATGATCATAAATTCAAGAGCATAGTCTATTGTTATCGTAAATAATGTCAAAAAAGAATAACAAATCACAAAATTGGCTTTTGATATCATTATCTGTATGTTCTTCAGGTCGTAGCACATAAAAGGCAGAAGCAGAGCCTCAGCCACCATGTCATTCAGACTAAGTATGACCAAGTATATTCCTTAAAGATGACAGGATCATTTTTTGTTGTGAGAGAAAAGGACTAAGCATTCCACACTATTCTAGGCAAGTAGTTGTATCCTAAACCTTGCCTAATGCCAACTGTCTAACCATCAAAAGTGGCCTGTGGAACACTACAAATCTAGCTTTGTGTCCATCTTTGGAGAATCAGAAACCACCAAAGTGTAGGATATAGAACCAGGGTCAAAGAATAGAGCAATGTTTATTTCCAGAGCCTAGGTATCAGCACCTCCTACATAAGAGCAAGAAGTGAGTGTGTATGTCTCTGCTTCTTTATGACAAGAAATAAAGATGAGAGATGAAGATAAGATGGAAAGATAAAGGGCTGAAAAGATGGCTCAGCAGTTCTTACAGAGGACCTGGGTTTGATTCCCAGCACCTACATGGCAGCTTACAGCCAAATGTAGCTCCAGTTCCAGGGGATTCAATACCCTCTCCTCTGGCCTCTGAGGGCACTAGACACACACATAGAGCAAGCAAAACACCTTTAAACATAATTTTCTAAAATGATGGAAAAATAATACATATGCCTCCAAAAGATAGGTATTGTGCTTTACATAAGGAATGAGTTATAAATATTGAATCAAAGTAGAAAGGTAAGGATACAAAAGGGACCAGGACCATGTGTCACTATTATTATGTAAAAGGTACAGAATTTACTGGACTCAGAGAAAAGACAGAAGAAATTACTTTAGGCATTCCAGAAGGTGATAAGACAGATAATTGGAAATGATCAATTCTAGGAAAATATTTACTTGGGAATGGGTGAGAAGATGCTGAGGCCAGCTCGGAACTTCTTGATGGTACCACTTGCTTTGAACCAACTGTGTCTTTTCTCCTGCTGGGTCTTCAGGAAATCGTTGCTCAGATGTTTCCATTGTTGGGATGTAAACATACCCAGGATCCTAGGAAATCAAGAGGATTAGGCAAGATCAGGCAAAAAAGGACAAAGAGAGGCAACTAATCTCCAGACTCAGAGACTATAAAGCTAGTTTTGACAGAATGTTTGCCAAAGCCTCTCTTGATATGACACTGGCATATGAAAATACTATCTATCCTAAAGCACCATCTTCACCCTAGGAATAAACACTCACTCCTGTTACCTAACCAATAAGCCAGAATATTTCTGGAGACATTGTAAAGGAGAACCTTCAGGCTAGAAACCACAGTCTGGATTTAGTGCCACAGATAACTACACTGAAAACAGAATAGAAGGGGTAGGGCAGAAGAGAATATAACCTTCTACTTTGCAATTAGTGCAATGACTATGGATATGCAATACCAATAATGTTAGGTGAAAAACTACATCCCTGAATTTATAGTCTTCACCTTGCAACCCAACTTATCAATCATTTCACTTGTCCTTGACCAGTTCTTTGTAGGATTACCCTAGGCTATCATGATAAAACCTCATCAGCTTCTTCAAACTCAAAATTTTACCTATAACCAATAACTTCCTTTTCTTCTCATTAGAGAAATCATGAGGTGTTAGCTTCCCTAATTTTCCAACCCTAATACAAAAGCTGTTTCTCCTTCAACCCTTATCTCTAGCCCTTCATTCTCTGGAGAAAAGGTGACTCTCATATTAAGACTGACTTCTCTATTTGGGCTCTACCACCATCTTCTGTCCTTAAGGGCCATGATCAAACATTTTCCTGTCTGGTCAGTTTCTTTCCCAAAGTCTGTAAGATACTTCATTTTTCTGCATCTCAGCTAGGCAAGTGTTCTACCTCTAAGATCTATCTTTAAGGGGGTCAAGATTCCTTTGGCCTAGTTTTAGTGTTTCTTCTTCTTCTGTCCACCATCGTGAAGGATTCCTGGATACTTCGGGTATTAAAAAGTTTTTTGCCTTCAATTCTATTTTCTTTTCACCCTATCATCCTCTTCTATAACAATCTTACATCTAAGTTCCACCAACACTGATGCTTATCTTCAATCCTTATACTCAATTCTGAGCTAGTGTGAGACTATTTTATAGCATCGATCTACACCTGGCTGTTCTGTAGACCAGGCTGGCCTCGAACTTACAGAGATCCACCTGCCTCTGCCTCCCAAGTACTGGGATTAAAGGTGTGTGCCACCACCAACCTGATCTGGCTTCCTAAACTTATTTTAACTTTTCCTAGGAATATTTTAGAAGGCCATTTCTGGAAAAAAAACACGATGTTCAAGGCTTTGACACATTTGTGGTTAGAGTCTGGATTGTGACTGTCCCCCAAAGGTTAACATGCTGAAGGCTTGGCTCCCAGTCTGTGACACTATTGGGAAGTGGCAGAATATTGAGGAGGCAGGACTTGGTTGAAGAAGGGAGCACACCGTTGCAGGGGATAGTGGTACCCTGAGCCTCATGTGTATGTGTCTGTCTTTCTGTCTGTGTTTGCCAGCACACTGTAAGTTGAACAGACCCCTTCTACCACATGCTTCTACAATGATGTATTGTGATGTCAAAGATATAAATAGTGTCAAGTTATAATAGGCTGAAACTGCTAAAGTGTGAGCTAAAATAAAATTTTCTTTCTTCTAAGTTGAATAATTCAGGTATGTTGTAACAGAAATGGAAAGCTGACTAAGATAAGTATTTCTCAATACTTTTCCATCACATGTCCATGAACAACAACAAAAAAGTGCTTACTTTTTTAATTGAAGACCTAGCCCAAACCCTTCCTTATTCGATGGCTGGAAAACCTCAATGGATGGTTCTGTAAAGAGAAGAAAAAGTTTCCAATGTGTGCATAACTCTAATCTCTACAAAGTCTAAAGTCACAGTTCAGTAGGACAGCTTCCTCAGATTCTAGACACAGTAGCTGTTAGGTACTCTCAGGCAAATCCAACTTGCAGTTAAAGATAGCTAGGAATGTGGCTGAATATAAAACTGTAACTTACTTAAAACATTATGAAAATTTTGTAATTTTTTTTTTTTGGTAACTTGGTTGTTCAGTTCTTGAGTGTGGATTTTGAAGAGAACAATGTGTTGGAATGTCAAAAGTTGGACATGCCTGCACAGTGGAGGAAGAAAACTTGAGGCAGCAGTAAATTCTAGAAGCCATTTAATAAACTTTAAATATTTTCAGTCAGAAGTTGGGAGGTTTGGAGAAGAACAAATATCTTCAGGTCAGAGAAAACAATTTCACAAATCAAGAAGAAGGCTATCAGATGAGTGGGGATGAGGACACTAATGACAAGAAATGGAAAACAAAGAGTGAGCACAAAGGTCTTATTTCCAACTTTATTTCTACTTCAATTAACTTAGTACTTTGGATCAGACTATACTCAGATTACCCACTTGTCCATTGTCACTGTCTTTACCTGGTCCATCAAGGTACTGGGAGAGAGAAAACCGTAGCCTCAACACAATCGGTTCTGTCCGAAGGACCTTCCAAGCTGTAGATACTTCCTCCTAAGAGAGTAAGAGAAATTATTTCTGGTTTACAACAGAGAGAAATGGACACATATATGCACATAACAGTATACACCATTGTTCGTTGATGGTCTAGGAATGACAAGGTGTAGAATATAGTCTCCAAATACAGCACTCAAGAACAAGACACCAGGCTACATGAAAAACACCCGTAAGGCAAGCTACACATACTGTTGGCACTACTTACATCGAGGAAGCTGATGTTGATATGGAGGTCAATGTCCACGTCATCAATAGTTCCATATTCTCTACAGAGACACAGGCAACCACAAGGGAGGCTCATTAAGACAGAAGGGACTAGAGAGGTAAAGAAGGTAAAGAACTAACCCTGGGAACATGAGAAAGGTGGAAGAGAGCTCCATACTTAGACCTTAGTTACACAGAGAAACCATGCCTCAAAATAAACAAACAAAAAACAGCAACAAGCCGGGCGATGGTGGCACACGCCTTTAATCCCAGCACTCGGGAGGCAGAGGCAGGTGGATCTCTGTGAGTTCAAGACCAGCCTGGTCTACCGAGCTAGTTCCAGGACAGTCTCCAAAGCCACAGAGAAACCCTGTCTCGAAAAACCAAAAAAAAAAAAAAAAAAAAAAAAAACCAGCAACAAGAAAAAGATCTTAGCTATGTATCAGATCACTTATGACCATAACCCTTCTTATCCCAAAGGCAACTAGTGACCTAAAGGTGATGTGGGAGTGTCATATATCAATCTGTTGATTTCATTGGTTAAGTAATAAAGAAACTGCTTGGCCCTGATAGGTTAAAACATAGGTGGGAGGAGTAAACAGATCAGAATGCTGGGAGAAAGAGGAAGTGAGGTAAGACGCCTCAGACAGAGACGCCATGCTCCCCTCTCCCTGGCAGCGATAGCTCTGCTCTCTGAGGCAGACACACGCCATGAAGCAAGCCACCAGGTCAGACATGCTGAATCTTTCCCGGTAAGACTAGTGCTACAGTTTATTGGAGATGGGTTGATCGGGATATCAGAATTAGCCAGTAAGGGCTAGAGCTAATGGGCCAAGCAATGTTTAAAAGAATACAGTGTCTGTGTAATTATTTCGGGGCATAAGCTAGCAGGCAGCCGGGGTGCTGGGGACGCAGCCCCACGCTCGTATTACAACATAAAGGTATTTAGGATAAGAGGGAATAGCTAAGAAAAATAGTTCTAACTCCTATCTCCTATGGTCAGTCATTTTTATTTTTAAATACTCTGAGTAACCTTCTATTGCTAAACTCATAAATTTATCAGTACATTACACCATCAAAAGAAATTCTAGCCTTCTAAAGATCCTTGTCATCCTGAAGTTGAGTCCCACCTGATGGACACAGAGTTCTCACTGTAGATCTCCTTCACTGCTTCAATGTCCGCGTCAAGCTGTGGGTGTCTATACAGGTCAGCTGCACAGCTCCCCTGATTCAGCCATAAAAATATTAATGGTAGCAGAGGTGAAAAGAGATAAACAAAGGGGAAGTAAGAAAGAGAGAATAAACAGAACATGCAGACACACCAGGAACAGGAAAGATGAAAGGGCAGCACACAGGCTCTTGGGGGGATCTCTAGCACATTTCAGGGAACAAGACTCTCTATTCCAGCCTAAGAAAGTTTCAGCAGACCAACAGGCAGTTTTGCTTTAAGAGTTCATATTCTCAAGCTCTAGCCTTTCCTCTCAAATTTTGCCTTCTACAGAAATTCAGACGAGTTCTACCTGAAAAGCATCCTGAGAGTCTGAACAGTTTTGCTTAGGAATGCAATTGTTAGCAATTGCATTTTTCTGGGTGGCAATGATAATGACACTCTCCGGGAGCCATTTAAGATTTGATCCTAACAATTAAATGACTCTCTCTGAGAATGAGAGAAGAAAATAATAATTTCTAACTAACGTAAGGGTCCCCTTCATATGGAGGATGCAGTTTACTATGGGATAACAAGTCCTAGGTATAAGCAAGGACAATGAATCAGTTCTGAAAGATTCCTATCAGATCCCACTAACATTTTATCTCATTTCATCTCTGTTCAGTAGAACTTTCCTTCTGATGTACCCAGCATATAAAATCTAAATCATCCAACAATGAGTTTGAGGGAATGCACCTCACCTGAACTCCATATAGAAATTCCTCTGATTCATTATCTCCTTCTGAATCATCATCATTCCAGAACTGGCCTTTGATGTCCTGGAGATAAACAACAATAACAAAAACACTGAAGCACCATCCTTTGTTAGATCCTTGTTATTACATGGGCTAGGGTAGGGCAAAGGATGGAAAACAGATTCTCACATTTCTTGGGAACAAGTAACTGAAGCCTGAATCCTTTTACACATTTCACTTCACTCTGACTGAGTGCAATACTACCTAAGTCTAGCTCTGACTCGGTGGGGCAGAGAACATCCTAAGCTCTGCATCGTCACTTCCTCATCTCCCTTGTTTTGTGTTCTCTCTGAGGCAGGGTCTTACTCTATAGCCCTGGCTAGCTCAGACCTTGCAGCAATTCACCTGCCTCAGTTTCCCAAGTGCTGGGATTACAGATGCAAGCCACCACAGCCAACCTCATCTCTACTCTTTTATCTCCTAGTGTTCATCTCTCCCCTTCCTTTCAAAGAGAACAGCCCTACACAGCTCAAGTGACACTTTTTCCATACTCCTCCTTCTTCCATTAACTTCAAATAGCTACTTCCAAAAGGGCAAGAGGGGGAAAATACCAGGAAAAGGTAAAGCCAGCCTTCTGTCTTATCTGCCCCTTAGATGACTAGTCCAGTGAAACAAGGAGTCAGTCCTCACCATTGGGTCAGTGGGTCTCACACACACTCTCAGGTCAGTGCTAGGCAGCACCCCTCCATACCACCAATCGAACCCAGGCCAACAAGATGAGCATTTAGGAGATCACAGAATGAGACAAAGGAGGTGATGATGTCATAGGTACTGGCGATCTGCTGGAGATGGCAGACTCTGCTGTTGTGGTAATAAGTCACTGTCCTATGGAAAGTAAATAACAATTGGGTTCACTACTTATTAGCTGGATAGTATATACACAGGTATATTTTGTCCAATTACAGACACATGTAAAGAGGCATAATGCACATGAACACATAGACTTTAGTTCTTTAACCAAGCTGAAGGCACTGTCAGGAGAATATACACCTGTCTATTACACTCGAAGTTGAAAGTTGGAACTGGAGTAAGTATCTGCTCTAGTCATAACCTTAAAACCAAAAGTAACAATGGCAAGACCAAACTGCTTATGCTTCTGTGTCCACTCAGTTCATTTATGAGCAGCTTTCACAATACCAAGCCTCATCAGCCTTATGAACCAGAACCAGATTCTTTTTAGACTCTTTGCTTCTATTTTTCCATATTGGGCCACTATCACTTTTTTTCTTTACATGTGTATGTGTGTGCAAGCAAATGTGTATAAAAATACACATGAATGTCCATGTGTATGCCTCCAGGGCTGACTCTTGGAGTCTTTCTCATTCACTTTCTGCCTGACTGAGACAAGATCTCTCAACTAATGCTGTATTTCACCAACACAGGCTAGTTTAGCTAGCCACCTTGCTGAGAGCCTATCTCCACATTCCCAGAGCTGGAATTATACGTAGCCATCATGCCCACGACATTTATGTAGGTTCTGGGGACCAAAATTCTAGTTCTCACACTTCCATGGCAGGTATTTTAGCCAACAAGCCATATCTGTAACCCCTCATTATTGCTTTTAAAACATCAGCTTTAGTTGAGCTTGGTGATTCACACCCATAGTCCCAGCAATAAGGAGGGGATCTATCTTTGAGGTTAACCTAGGATACTTTGAGGACTCTAGCTCAAAAATAAATTAATTCAAGGGGGCTGAAGAGATGACTTAGTAGTGCTCTTTACAGAGGCCCTGAGTTAGGTTCCCAAGCATCCACACCAGGCAGTTCATAACTGCCTATAACTCTAGCTCCAGGGGATCTAACACAAATATTCATAAAACTAAAAATAAATCTTTAAAAAATAATAGCAAAATTACTAGAAGCCATTATATGACAACCATCTAAGTCAGAGTTCTCAATAACACCTACGATGCTCTGGTAAAATTTATCTGAGTTGTCATCTCGGAACCTAACCTCCACATAGTTACAGTAATGACCCAACAAACACTAACCTCCTTCCCACTTCTAATCCTAGAAGACCTCCATCCCATAACAGGCTATTTTTAGCCCCACTGAAGCCTTCACTTACATCAGGTCATGAAAAAACAACTCAGCTATGAAATTATGAAGGCTTGAGCGGTAACAGAGTCAAAGCTACAGTAACAATAGGCTTTCAAAGCTTTCTGGGGCTCTCTAGATCAGTAGGTCACAAACATTACCTGCACATTACCTGGGGAGCTTTCAACTTAGACCAACACATAGCCCTATTCCATAACTAATTAGTACAATTTCACACGAATTAATCCTGAACGTTAAGTCAGTTAAAAACTCTCTACTATTAAGCCAATACTAGGAACCACTAGTCCTTCCTGGCTCCACAGATACATCAATCTAATCCATTCCAAACTACTCAATGGTGTTCTTGGTCCTTAATGTGATTCTACCAAACCTTACTTTTCTACATCATAGGTTCTAGGTGGGCTGGTGTGACTGCAGCATCAGTATTACCTGGGAACTTGCTAAAATGCCAATCTTAACCCTTACCCCCTGAGATTTAGTGAAGCAGAAAAACCAGAACTGGAATGCAGTGATGTTTTAACAAGCCCTAAAGTTATTATGCTGCATGATAAAATCTGAGAACCATCCCACAAGGTCATTGCATCTTCCAAGGGTCTGTCGTTTCTTCTCAGAGACCAAGTTAAACTTGGTAATTGGTTCAGTATGGGGCTATAAAGCACAATACCAAAATAAACTCTACATAGCAGTCCTTGAGCTGACTGTACTACCTCACTGACCAAACAGTAATATGCAAAAGTCAATTACAACTCAAGTTCTTAGAGATAACCTGAGATCTGATAATAGCTTTAAAACACTACTGGGGGGTCGGGAGGACAAGTATGAGCAAAGTACAATTGTATGTATGAAAAAACTCATTGTTTTGTACATCAACTAGAATTTTAGTTTTAAAAATTAAATACTATTCCATTTTCAAATAAAATAAGTGTGAAAACAGATTAAATAAATTTTGCAAAATGTTGATAACTGTGAGTCAGACATAGTGGCATGTCTTTAACTCCAGCATTCTGAAGGCACAGGCAAGTGGATCTCTTTGAGTTCTTAGCCATCCTGGTCTACACAATGAGCTCCAGTACAAAAACAAAACAAAAAATGTTGGTAACTGATGAAGCTGAGAAAAGTACACAAGGGTTTCTTATATTCCCTGCTTTTTGGTGTATAGTTGAAAAATTCTGCAATTATAAAATCAAAGGCTCTCCCTAGAAAACCAACTCTGCACGTCAACAGGAAGACTCCCCTTGTCTCCTTGCTATTCTTCAAACACAGCAAGCATAGTCACACTACACAGCCTTGTCTCCGCTGTTCTCCCCTTTTAGGATAGCCTTTTACGATAGCCACACTCTGGTCACAGGTCACCTTAACTACCTCTATAAAATACTTACACTAAAAAATCCTAACAGTAATAATAATACCTACCCCAGCATTCCCTGTCCCTCCCCAGTTATCTCCTTCCCCACACTCGGACACACATTTCTCTCTCACCAGACTGTAAGCTCTACAGGCAAAGATCCGGACTGTTCTCAGCCTCTATAACACATTTACCGAATTAGTGAATGATCCCTCAGCTGTGTACCAAATGGGAGATAAATATAAGAACTTAACGCCGCTTCTATGCATCAACAATAATCACACAAAATGCTTTTTAAAAAGCAAGATCTCATTCACCTTCAAGAGCAGCAAGAAGCAAATTCTGAAGTTCTGGAGACTGGAGTTCTTTTGAAATTTGAAAATAAACAGTCAAGCGCTGATCTGGACAACCAAGGAGGGATACAAGGGAAGAAGCACTACTCTTCAGCCGGGGTTCTCTTGGGAAGAGTGGGACGATGGCAGCTTAGGCGAGAAGTGCCAGCTCTTTCAAGGTCTTTCACCTTAAGTCAAGAAACACTGAGCATGTCTTCTTCAAGGCTTGCTGCTTGGCTTCTGTTGCTATTAAAAGGACAGGGGGGGAAAATCAGTTTTTCCAAGGAAAAGACGGTTATGAAATGAAATGACCAACTTTTCAAACCAACCTGTTTTAGTGAGAAAGATTTGAACCCTCTACACTAAATGCTCTTCCCTCAGGAATGAGGAGTATATTTAAAAGCTGGAGAGAGGAAGGTTTGTGGATCATGGAATTCCCAGACATTAAAAAAAAAAAAAAAAAAAAAAGGAAGAAGGGCCTGAAAGATGACTTAGTTCAAAGTTCTCATGTAATATTCCAAGCTAAGGAAGTCACAACTTGCCTGAGGAACTCGAATATTTGATAGGTCCTAAATATATTCATTTTTCATGGGATGAAGCAGTAACTAACACAGCGGTTACTAAACTAAGACGAAAACAGAGCTGGACCCTTTGAAGAGGAGCTGGGCCAAATAGGGACTATCAGAGTGACCAGAGAAGAGCGCTGTTTCGCTCAGTGTTTGTTTATTTTGGGTGATGGCAGCTCGCCCTAACATGCTTGATCTGTTCCTATAAGATTATGCCAAAGGAAAATCTGCCGTAGAACGACTCACAAAGGTCTTTCTCTCTAAGTCCACAGGCACTTTCCAGAGTGACCATCTGACATCTACCTAGTCATAGAAGCCTCTGATCTCAACGTCTCCACTCTGGGCTTGCCTCCCAGCTCTGTGTGCTAGCAGAGGAAAGCTCCAACAGGAGCGACAGAAGGACTAAGCTACTAAACAAAGGCGAAGCGGGGCGCGGAGGGGCGAGTCCAGCCGGCCAGCTTGCTAAGCCGGGCACCCGCGGAGGGAGAGGACCGGGATGCTCGCCGAGGACACCCGCGCTTGCAGGACAGGGCCTGAGGCCTCTTCTCCAGGTGTCCCCCGTAGGCCCCCAGCCCCGGCCTTCCCCGTTAAGAAGCCTTCTGCGGCTCACCGCCGCCAGCCGCCCAGCCGAGCGAAGCCTGTCATCGCCCCTCACTCGGTCCCTCAGGCAGGGCGGACCCCGCCCGCCCGCCCCGCCCCATCCCGCTTCGGCCTCCCCAGACACGCCAGCCTACAGAGTACTCACGGCGACCCCGGGCCGCGCGCGGCCGCCGCGGAGGGGACGAGCGGCCCGGGACGCCCCGCGGGGGCGGAGCGGCAAGCCAAGGGGCGGGGACCGAGGCGGGCGGGCGAGGTCGCGCTCCCACGCCTCAGCGTGCCGTCCCGGGCACGCTGGGCCGCTCTGCGCACGCTCGGGCGAGGACACTGCGGTCACGTGTCTCGCCTCCGCCCAACCGCCGTGCAAGCTGAGCCTGGGCGTGTCCCCTCCCCGGGATGCCAGGCGGGCGCGCGTGCGCAGTGACCGATAGCTGAAGGCGTGAGGGAGCGAGTGGGTGGCGCCTGTTCCTTGGGTCTCTGAGGCCGAGGGAGGAAGAGGTGCTCCCGATTCGCCAAAAAATGTTTTTTCTTTGTCGCCTCGTGTGGTTGGGAGGACTGTGGAAGGAAAGCAATTTAGATTGTCTATATAGAGATGAGGCGTCCCCTCGGTGCAGGTTGAAGCCAGCCCCCCCCCCAAAAAAAATCAAAAATTAAGATTCTTAAATCTGCCTCGCCCCCATGCACTGTTGCTGGGTGTGCTGGAATCTACCTGGCCTTCGGGACACACAACCTTAGTGGGTTGGGGCCATAGCTCACTAAGTAGAGTGCTCGCCTGGTATTCACAGAGCCTTGGTTTCTGCACACCTCTGTAAACCCTGTGTGGTGCAGCGAACCTCTCATCTCAGCATTCAGGAAGTTGAGGCAGAAAAATTCAAAGTTATTCTCAGCTACATAGCAAATTCAAGACCAGAATGGGATGTATAAGAACATCTCAGAAGATAACTAAATAAAAGATTTTAGTGGGGGTGGAAGAGATGGCTCTGCAGGTAAGGGCCAGTGGTTGCATTGCCAAGGACCTGGGTTCAGTTCCCAGCACCCACATGGCAGCTCACAATAATCTGTAACTGCAGGTCCCCCTTTTGCAGAAATCTGACACCCTCTTTTGGCTACTAAGGGCACTAGGAACCAATGTGCACACACACACACGCAGGAAAACACTTGTTTAAGTGATTTTATGTGAGATCAAAGCTTGGTTTGAACACTTGGGATTTTTCACTGGGCTCTAGATTTTCTCCTTGCTTACTCACGATTCCCATCTGGATATTAGCAAAAGGCCCCCAGGTAGCTGACTGCTAACAAACTTCAATATTTGTTACATTGTAATAACTGGAAAAAAATGAGGGATATACTCCAGTTTTAGAGTGCAAAAGTTCATAGTAGTACAGAAAGGGTGTAAGCATTGTGCCTCAGATGGAAAAATATTCTGGCAGTCGAGAGGCAGGGAATAGCACAGGTCACAGTAAGGAGAGCAGCTTACAGCCCTGCTCTGGGGAAAGGTTTTCCCAATGTAACAGTTCTGTTCTGGCAGGAAAGGGCTTTCCCAGCAAAGTTGTTACAGCTAGACTCTGGTGCCAGGAGTGTAACAACTCTGCTCTGCTAGGGGAAGGTTTCCCCAGTGAAAGTGTTACATCCCTGTTCTGCTGCTTACCGGTTGAAGTTGTAACAACTCGGAGCTGCTAGGGTAAGGCTCTCCCAGGGAATGTACTACAATGCTGCTTGGCTCCATCTTTGCTCTGGTGAAAGAAGGTCTTCACCCACACCTCATTCAAGAGGTTTATTAGGAGGGAAGAATCCAGGGGAGCGGCTGTCTCTGCCAGGGTGGAAAAAGGGCAGCAGCAAACAGAACAGGTACAGGGCTTATATAGGACTTCTTAGGAGCAGAGTTTTCCAGGGAGATTGTCAGGGTGGGAATTGGTCAGATTTCAGGCCCTTGAGCTCAGATTGGTTTAGATCTCTGCTCAGATTGGTTGGTTTTCTGCTCCGGGATTGGTTCATTTCCCTGCCCTAAAATTGGTTAGTTTCCTGCTTAGTTGATCAGGGGCAGATTTGGCTCTGGTTTCAGAGACCAAATTGTGTTTCTTTCATTGACCTTTTAAAAAAAATTTCTTTTCTTTTTGACTCTAGTTTTAGGGCCAGGGCATATTTCTAATTCTAGGGACTAAGCATCTTTCTTTGGCACTGGTTTCAGGGTCAGGGTGTGTTTCTTTGGCTGGCCCTTTTACCCTACAAAGGGGTTTGCCATACTCACAACCATCGCATAGTCTTTGAGAGCCACGCACTGTGGAAATGTGCTCAACATAGTGTTTTTAAGAAACCACAAGAATTTTGTCCCATGAATGAAATGTCAAACTCTGGACTCCCACAACCTCCTAGGATTCCTTCCCTCTAACCCCTTCCCTCTCATGCTCACGTACTCACGGTGACTATCAACTGCTTTATAGGTATGATCTTCCTGACTGTGTTCATTTCCCTATGCACACATATCCTGTCAGTTAGCTCCCCCCACCGTGATGTGTGTGAGTGCATATGTGTATGTGTGTGTGCACTCTGCCTTATATTTTGAGACAGGGTCTCTCACTGAAAGTGAAGTTCTTCAATTGGATAGACTGGTTAGCCAGTGAGCCCCAGGGATTCTCCTGTCTCAGTGCTGGGATTACAGATGGTACAACTGCACCTCACTTTTTACATGGGCCCAGAGGATCTGAACTTGAATCTTCATGCTTTCGTGGCAATTTTTTACTGATTGCGTCATCTCCCCAGGGTCAGATCAGTCACCATCATCACAGTTGTGTTAATATGTGTTGTTGAATACTCACCTCTGACCCTAACAGCCATTTACTGTTAATCTTAAAATCACAGTGGTTACCACAAGTGACCCTCACAAGACTGGGTCTGCTGATATCCCTTCACAGAAAGGGGAGTGAGGAGGGCTGTTAGACCCTCACTGGAGATTTCCGACATTCCCCTGCATGACTTCCTCCAGCTTCATGCCTTCTCAGCCACAATGGGCTGAAATTTCTCTGGAATCATGAGCCAGGCATAAACCTTTTCTTCCATAATTTGTTCCTGTCAGGTCTTTTATCATAGCTTCAAGAAAGGGACTAATACTGGGTTAAGGAAATCACCGAGTTCTCAGACCTGAGTTTGTGGGTAGGCATTCTTTTTGGTTAGTCAAACCCCTGAGCCCGTTCTCTGGGAATTGTGTTTTCCATGGCTGTGCCCAGCACCAATAGGCTCTGTACATGTTTCCTGAGATGTCTGGTGCCTGCATTACAGTTACCAAGCTGTGTACTGTGTACCAGGTTTTTTCTTTTGGGCTCCCAAAACAGAAACTTATTATTAGTTTTGAATGCTAGGCCTAGCTTAGGCACTTCCTGGCTATCTCTTTTTAACTTAAATTAACCTGTTTCTCTTTATCTACCTTTTGCCTTAGGGATTTTTGACTTTTCTTATTTTCTTGCTGTCTCTATGTTTGGCTGGCTTAGAGTTGCATGGCTTCTGGCCCCAGGTGTCTCCCTCCTTCTCTCCTCTGCTTTCTCTTGAACCTAGATTTCTCCTCCTGTTTATTCTCTCTGCCTGCCAGCCTCCCCTATCCATCTTCAACTTTTTATTAGACCAATCAGATACCTTAGGCAGGAGAGGTGAAACAGACGCAGCACATCTTTACATAATTAAACACACAACCTTGCTGCTTTAGCCCATCAATTCAGTCTGCCAAGATTAAAATAATTGTGCATGCTATTATGAAAGTCAAATACTCTTTCCTAATCTTTTTTTTCATTTTCATGTGTGTGTTATGAACATTTGTATGTGTAGGGGCACACGTGCATATTCGTGTATGAGGAGGCTGGAATTATCCACCATATGTCTTCTCTCAGGTCTAAAAGAAACCCAGGACAAATGGCTAACTGTGGTGTCTATTAGCATCAAAGCATGTGCTAGCCTACAGGCTCTTTCTGCAAGTACCTGTTCCAGGCATCCTGGCTCCTCCAGTTCATCTTGTCACACCTCCTATCCTAAACTTCTCTATGCAGGCTCTCCCCACCCCCGGCTTCTCGTTCCCATATAACCATGTCATTTTGGCCAAGTGCCTCTCTTGCCCGCTCTCCTGTTGGTTCTCTTGCCCTTCCCCCTTAGTTCTCCACTCTCGTTCTCCCCCTCTCTCTTATGGACCAGTTCATGGTCATATTTAGTCTAGTACTTTCTCTCGCTGCTCTGGACTCTTCCAGATGCCTCTGGCAGTACTCACTCTCATATCTGCAATAAAAACTTTCTCCTCAGCTACACCTTAGGATGGTCATGTCCTCATTTCACTCATCTTCCACCTTTTTCATTAAGGTAGCATCTCTCAACCAAACTCAAAGCTTGACAGCGTAGACAGTCTCCCCAGGCAGCTTGCTTGGGAGATCTCCGATCTCTATCCTGAGGCTGGGATTACAGCAGTCCCCTACCTGTCTTTTTATGGTAGGTTCTGTGGATCTGAACTATGGTCCTCATGCCTGTGCATCGAGCCTCTGGTCCCAGCCTTCTTTCCCCAAATCTAAAGTGAGTGAGAACAAAAAAAAAAAAAAAAGGCTGAACTGGGAAATCCAGGAAATACTGGAATTTAGGGGTTAGGCATTTCTAGAAAACAAAACAAAACAAGAGAATCTTGATCATCACAACCACACTTAAGCACTTCTTCCATCTTTCAAGTTAAGATGCATTTGGTGTGGAACTCAATGTTACAGTTCTGGTGCTTGGTTGCCAACTGGGTTCAAACTTGATGCACCTTTTTGTATCCCATAAGCAACCTCTTTCTTTCTCAATGGGGAGGCACCTGCCTATGCCAAATAGCTTCTCTACTTCTACGTGTTTGGTAGAAATGCCTATTGTCCTTCCCAACCTCCAAGGAGCAAATGGTACACTTGGGAAGTACCTGAGAGTTGCTTTGTAGGGTGTACCTTGGCCAGTGGAAAATAAGACACGGGGGTGGGGGGTGGATGGATAATCCCTTTTGAAATCCCCTTGGTGAACTGCTCCAAAACACACCTTCTCCTTACAAGTACTGAATGCTTAGAAACAAGCCTGGCGCTGCCCTGTGGCTTGCCCTTTCT